GAAATAATTTTGCTATCCAATTCTTTAGTCAACTCCTAGTTCTGTTGTTATAATGTACTTCATAATTCTTGCAGGTTTGGATTATTGGACTACTTCAGTGTATAACTCAGAATAAAACAATGTTTAATCTTTTAAAAACATATTTAAAATTAGTTTTCTTCAGGGTGTAAATAAGAAGATTCAGCATTGGAATAAGTATAAATGTAAAATGGCAAAGAACTTGTCCTGTCCTGGAGAATACATTGATGCTGATCTCATATACAAACAGCTCAATGTTCCATAAAAGGTGAAAACAAAGGTTATTTGAGAGGCGCATGTAATAAAAACGTCACATTGGCCACTTGCTGATTGTATTTTTAGGATAGTAGAAATAATAAACACATAAGATATCAATGTAAGTATAAATGCACTGACACTCAGGGGAGTCTCATCAATGTAGGTACATAACTCAGTAGTAAATGTATCACTACAGGTAGGTTTAAGCAATGGGGCTAAATCACAGAAAATATGGTCAATGTGGTGAGAACGACAGAATGAAAAGTTAGTATGTGCAACAGGATTGAATAAACCCACGGTCCATAGTAAAAGTACTTGTCGAGCACAGTGCTTTGGATTCATACGTATTGAGTAATAAAGATGGTGACATATTGCTACATAGTGATCATAATCCATGAAAGCTAATAATAAGACTTCTGTACACACAAAGCACATAAAGAAATACAGCTGACTGAAAAACTCCAGAAAGGATATGGTCTTACACTGAGTAAGGAGCATGGCTGACAGTTTGGGTAGAATGGCTAAGATGTATTAGATATCAATGGCTGATAAGACAAGAAGATGTACATGGGTGTTTGTAAATGAAAATACAAATCCATAGATTCAAACATAATCAGATCACTGAAGACAATAAAGAGATACGCCAACAATAACAAAATTATAAAAAGAGGAAATCAAAGGTGTGTGGTGAGTCTGAAAAACCTTTCATAGTGAATTCATTTGGAGTGAACTTAAAATCTGACATCATTTTTATTCTTCTTGTTTACAAAGCAAAACACAAAGGTGATTAACCCCTTAAGGACCGAGGACGGTTCAGGACCGTCATCGGCATTTTTGCCTTGCCGACCGATGACGGTCCTGAACCGTCCTAACGGTCAGAGCTACTTACCTGATCGCCGTCGTTCCCCCGGCGGCGATCAGCGTGGCTCCGGTTGTTGGGAGACTGTCTGCAGCCCAGACAGTCTCCCCACGGCAGATTAGGACCCCTGTGGCCATGTGATCGCTTAACACAGCGATCACATGGTCACAATAGGTGTCCATGTGTCTGCCTGCAGGGGGACTGTCTGTGCTGACAGGCAGTCTCCCTGCTAGTGTAAAATCAAAAAAAAAAATAAAGTTAGTGTTAATAAAAAAAAATAATAATTATATATGTGTATATATGATATATAGACATATATTATATCTATATAATATATGTCTATATATCATATATATAATGCCATACTAAGTGTATTTTTATATTAATATGTACTTATATTAATATAAAAATACACTTATAATTAAATTACACACGTATATATATAATATATATAATAACTATATATATTGTATATATATATTATTATAAAATATAAATAATAAGTAATTTAAATTAAATAAAAAAATTTTTTTAAATAATAATAAAAAATTTAAAAAAAATTATATAGCTATATGAAATTTTATTCTAACTGTATTTTAAAATTAATATATATATATTTATATCAAAATACACTTAGAATGAATTTGTATATATATCTATGTATATAAAAATAAATAAAAATAATAAGAAATATACATACGCCCATATACAAAATTACATAAATAATTATATAAATATACACGTAGACTTCAAATATATAAATATGCATATATATTTAAATTCTACGTGCGTATTTATGTAATATTTTTACATATTCAGTAATTTTATTGATTGCAATTTAAGGGACCTGCCTGCCAACCCAGGCCGAAATTCCAGAGAATTTAATTTGCTAGCACTGTATTTTACCCTGTAGCGTTCTCGACACCCAAAACCTGTACATGGGGGTACTGTTTTACTCAGAACTTCGCTGAACACAAGTAGTGATTTGATTCAAAACAGTAAAACATATCACAGCGATGATATTGTCAGTGAAAGTTACTTTTTGCATTTTCACACACTGAAACAGCACTTTTACTGATGATATAATTGTTGTGATACATTTTCCAGTTTTTAAACACTAATATTTGTGTTCAGCGATGTCTCCTGAGTAAAACAGTACCCCCCATGTACAGGTTTTATAGCATTTTTGAAAGTTACAAGGTCAAATATATGGTCAAATATTTTTACATTGAAAATGGCCAGGTTGGTTACATTGCCTTTGAGAGCGTATGGTAGCCCAGGAATGAGAATTACCCCCATGATGGCATACCATTTGCAAAAGAAGACAACCCAAGGTATTGCAAATGGGGTATGTCCAGTCTTTTTCAGTAACCACTTGGTCACAAACACTGGCCAAAATTAGCGTTCAATTTAGTTTTTTTACTTTTTTCACACACAAACAAATGTGAATGCTTACTTTGGCCGGTGTTTTCGACTAAGTGGCTACTAAAAAAGACTGGACATACCCCATATTGAATACCCTGGGTTGTCTACTTTAAAAAAAAATATGTACATGTGGGGTGTTATTCAGAGATTTATGACAGATAATAGTGTTACAATGTCACTATTGATACATTTTAAAAATGTATGTTTTGAAACCGCAATATCCTACTTGTACTTATAGCCCTATAACATGCAAAAAAATTGCAAAAAAGCATGTAATCACTAGGTATTTTTTAAACTCAGGACAAAATTTTGAATCTATTTAGCAGTTTTTT